AAGGATAAGAGCCCGTTCAATTGATAGGATCAACTTCATTATGTGATAGTAGAATGTTAACTAGCTGGACGCAAAAGATCAATGCAATCAACTACACTAACCGTATTAATTCACTTATTAGTATATTACTTGTATATGGTATTTATTATTTAACAACTTATTCATCGTGCAGAATTAATGTATTTTTATCTGTAATCGTCAACAAGGATATTGTTTGTACACACACTTTGTTTACAATCTTTGCATTCTGAAAAATGGCATTGACACGAATCTGGGAATTCAAATGCAGTTAATTTCAAGCACGTAGAGTCAAGCAAGTCTGGGATTAACTTGCAACGCGAGGCAGTTTAATTCCATGAAGCAACTTTACGCGATACAAGAGATATTTCTGCCGCAGCTGGCTTAATATGTATTTCGACGTGGCGTACTATACCAGTCTTCACGTTATATAAGGACAACTTGTCTGTATAGGGTAAAATGACATGGTTATGAACACCCTAGAATGTGAGTCCCCCTCTGAGAAATAATATGCAATAGCCAGAGAACCCTAACGTATTAAAATATAGCGTACTAATCTCGTTTATCCATCTTTTGCTTGATGGTAAAACAATTAATGTCAAGGTAAGCGCAAATATCACGAATTACATTAACGACGAAATGCCCGTACAATAATGCTGAGCACACTAAACATAGATGCACGTAAAGAATTTCGTAACGATGATCTAGAATAGTGCTAAAAAACAAGCGACAAGTCAGGATCCGAATTTTAAGATTGAATACGCAACATAAAAAATCAACTTACATTCCAAATCTACGAAGTAATGCATTTGCAACTCCAAATAGAAGAGGGTAAAACGACACGTTCCAGTAGGGGAAAGGAGCTTTAGTTACATGAGCAGTGATAATCAGGCCAACTTGGTACCCAAATGATATTCCAATATAAAGAAGGAACACAATCAGATGCTGAGTGAGTAGTTGTGGTGAGGCTGCCAGCCATATAAATTCAAGGGCGGACATAAGCGCAAATGGGAATAGCCCAAATAACGCTGGGATTAATGGTTTCTTCTGTGACTTGCACGCACGAGCAACGTTCCACGAACTGTAAAATAAATCAAATACTCAGACGCCTATCGCTCCAACCATAATGACCAGAAAATCATAAAATAATATACCTGACAATGACATTCATAACTAAAACAACTGCACCAAAATACATGAACACGTCTTGTAAAGAAAGCTGAGGGAATGTTCGTTCAAACGAATCGGAAATTTTTAAAAGGCTATGCAAACTTTGATGCCAGAACCCAACCCCTACATGTGTAAGATCGTTCGTTATTACTTGTTGATGCGCCTGTTGTAAGAATTCATCATTAATAAGTACCTTTGAATCCAGTTATTATATACAACATACACAGAATTATGAGACCCTCAACGGGGCCACTAAAATAACTTAAATATAATGTTCCAGTCTCATATTCTTCCCAGGTAGTAAGATAAAAGTTTCCAAGGAGTAAACACAGTGTGGAAAGGTATTATGTTTAATACTGATTTCAGTCTTTTGTTCACATTACTCAATTTATTCTGCACACAAAGATTCATGGGAAAATTTTAGTAGAAATCTATCGTCGCACCCAAATCAGAGAAACTCTTACGATGATCCCAATGATTTGACAATTGTAAAATCGCTCAAACCACTACAAAGACGTTTTTGCCTCAAAAAATGCGGATGGGGATTCAACAAGAGGATGCTTGACGATACACTCCAAAGAATGGAACATGCTGGAGAATATGAAAAGGCTGCTGCCTGGGCATTGTTTCATGGTGAAAAAGGCAAAGCTATCTTAGTACTCAATAATAGTGGCGGTAAGTTGAATAAATCGTGTAATACCAGAGTGATAATTGACGTTAACAGCAGTAATCTAATCTATCCCTTGCGTCAAATTAGACCAACAGTTGAAACTAGTATCGACAGTCATAGCAGGAGTTTTGTCATACAATCAAGATTTGCAATCTGAAATGCATTCTCACTGGCTCGACATGTGTCGCAATATGAGTCGGGAACTTCAAAACCCATATGTAAGAGCGATGTTTTCTTACATAACAACCAGTAGCTGGAAATCCGTCCTTCAAGAAGATGAATTACCATTGAGAGATCGTCTTGGGATTGCGTTGAAATTTTTGAGTGATGATGAGGTAATTTTATCGTAATGATGTAATTACTAATGATGTTATGTATAAGGTTATCATGACTCATGTTATCCCCATTGTATTTAGCTTACGGCTTATTTACAAGACACAGCCGATAAATTTGTCGAGTCGGGAAACATAAGCGGAATAATGCTAACAGGGTTAACACAAGACGGCGTTGATCTCTTTGCTAATTACATAAACAAGACTGGCGATATACAGACAGCCAGCTTAGCTCTGAGTTTCTGCGGGCTCAGCCGATCGAATGATAATCGAGTAAAGGAATGGATTGAAAGGTCAGATAATTATAACGCTTGCTGTCATTTTGGCCATTCTTCATTCTAACTCATCAACTCATATTGATTATCCAGCTATCGGACATTATTAGACAGATGGGAAATGTTCCATGCTAGAGCAAGCTTTGATATTGCACGTGGGAAAACCATGGGACGAGCTGAGCTGCTCAGTTCGAAACTAGCACCAGACCAAGTTTTTGTTACATGTAACTACTGTTCTCAAAACATTGCGCAAGAAACGTACATACCGCGAAACGAAGACCGAGATAGCAGATCGTTAAATACAGCCAGCAACGGCATTTCTTTATCCAGACAGAAGGTAAGAATAGACGTTCAAATCACCAAGAGTTCTGCTGACTCATGTCCTCATGCATTGATTAATATAAATTGCCTTACCACAGATTAATTGCTGCAAATCGTGCCGTAAACCCCTTCCTCGGTGTGCCATATGTCTATTGAACCTTGGTACTCCGATAGACTCTGTGCGGGATGCAATGGAATCTGCCGGTCTTGTCCCTGCTTCCGTTGACAGACCATTTGGGTTTGATCTTTGGTTTACTTGGTGTCAGACATGTCGTCATGGAGGGCACGCTATTCATATGCTACAATGGTTCGAGAGCCATGAGCAATGTCCGGTGAGCGACTGCTCTTGCATGTGCTCCAAAGGATAAGAGCCCGTTCAATTGATAGGATCAACTTCATTATGTGATAGTAGAATGTTAACTAGCTGGACGCAAAAG